TCAGGTTCGGAAAATCAAGCATTTGGGTTGGCTGCTACGAGTAGTATGAGACAACAATCTGGTAATAGGAAGGCGAATATAAATTAGACTTCTGTTGATTTGAAGGATGATATTTGTCATTACTGTAAGGAGAAAGGACATTGGAAATTTGATTGTCCTAAACTAAATAAATACGAGGAGAAGAAGGAATCATTTGCTGCTGTGGCGGAAAAAACTAACTCTGATTCTAAAGATGGTTTAGCCTAAGCAGTGTATGAACATGTAAATCATTAGGATGAGTAGTATTTAGATACTGCAGCTGATTATCATATTCTCCGAGAAGAGAGTGCTTCTCAGCTTATGAGCAGATAGATCGAGGACATGTTTCTATGACAAATGATGTTATCTGCAAGATTGTTGAAAAATGCTCCATGAGGGGTAAGGACACATAATGGTTCTGTTTGTACCTTGAACTAGGGCTGGCTATTTGGACCGGGACCGGATGAAAATCCGGAAACCGGACCGTATAACCCGGACCGGGACCGGATAGTAAACAATCCAATCCAATCTTTGGGCTTAGATTTGAGGTAAAAAACCGGATAAAGACCGGATAAGAGAGGTCAACACCCAAAACTTAAGGGTAATTTGCATAAACGGTCACAAACCTTTACACTTAGTACAAAACTTAACCAACTCCTCACCCTTTTAGGCCTTAGGCCACTCAAATTCCCACAATCTCAATATAAAATCAAGACCGAATTGGGACCGGACCGGGTCAAGACCGGACTGTATCCAATCCAATCTTCGGTCCTTATATTTTCAAAAAAACCGGACTGGACCGGATCAATTTGGGCCAATTTAACCGGACCGGACCGTATAGCCACCCCTACCTTGAACAATGTTAGGCATATTTCAGAGATGACTAAGAATATGATATCTTTGAGTCTACTAGACAACAAGGGTTTCAGCTTTGAAGGTGAGTGTTGTAAGTCTACAAAGATTCTAATGTGATTCTGAAAGGTGTTAAGGTTATTGGCGCCTTGTATAGTCTACAAGCTTCTTTTTTGACATGTTCTGTTGGTGATAAGTGCACCAAGTTGGTTCTGAATGACAAGTCTAAACATGGGTTGGACTTGCCGAATGATTTGGTTTATGTTGACCGCCCTTAGATGAATTTGGTGACAGGGGAGATCCCGGTTCATCGGTAGATTTGGAGGAGTTTAGTACGCACTACAAAAATAAAGAGGTTTGGGGACCAATATAGAGCACGGCGTGATTATGTTGTCCCAGGAAATAGTTTTGTAAGTTATAGTAGGGACGAGCACATTATATTGTCCCCGTAAGACAAGAGATGCAATATATTAATTTTGTTAGTTAGTTTAGTTGTCCCTAAAAAAAAGTCCAGCAGGAATATTTAATTAGGGGTTGATTTTTCCATCGGCGGATTATGGGGAATTATTTTTGTCCCCAAAATTCTATACGCATCAACATTTCTTTCTCCATCAGAACCAAAAAATATTTCTTTCTCCATGGATGAGACTTTAATTATTATGAATGGATTTCTATTAACTATGACCTTTTCCTTTTCAATCTTGGAGATAAAGGAATCATTTTCCTTTTCCATTTGGGTTTTCTTTTTCATCTTGGAACATGTAAGGCCCTGTTCACTTCCCTTTTCGTTTCCTGTTTTTTGTTTTCATGTCATAAATTTGGCAAAAGAAACAAGAAAACATGTTTACTTTTCATTCTGTTTTCTATTCGTTTCCAACTCTGAAAACAAAAAGTGGCAGCTTCCTACTGTTTTCGAAAATGAAAAAATGTCGTTTTCACCTGTTTTCAACATTTGTTTTCTCAAAACAGGAAACAGAAATGAAAGTAAACAGGGCCTAAGGGATCAGCTTTTTCCTTTTTTATTTCTGAATTATGAGTTTTATAAGGTGTGGAAACTGAACCCGATCCGATTATTCCGCCCGATCAATACGATCCGCAACCCGCCCGCAATCTGAATTGAATACTAAAAGTCAACAACCTGTAATCCGTCTGATCCGCAACTCGATTGACCCACAACCCGATTAACTCGCAATCTTAACTTAGTTAGAATTATTTTTTCATTTTGTATCGGAATTTAAAAACATGAAACTCGGTTGATATGATGTATTTTAGTAAAATTACAAAATTGAAACATAAAGTTCTTTAACAAAATTAAAAAAATAAATACAAAATATAAAATGATCACAATGTCAATATTGATAATGAAGATAATAATTGAGATCATGAATAATATTAATATAATATATATCAATTAAAATTTTGGTTAATTTAACTATTCAACAAAGTTATCAATAAAATATAAATAGAGTAAAATAATTTATTTGGTAAATTGTTGCTTTTAAAAGAAGAGGAAAATTTTGGTGTTTTAAACTTTTTTAGGAAAAAAAATACGAGAGAAATTTGGTGCCTTTGATTTTTGACAAAAGAAATAAGGGGATAGTAACATTAGTTACAACAATCATTTGTACTAGAAAAATTACTTAATTTCTCTACTTGTTTTCTATGCTTCTATATTTATTGCAACTTCAACACTACATGATCATTATTTTACAACACTGATTAAAAATTTGACACATTTAACTTGTGTTTGAGTTGATTTTTATTTCAAAATGAGGGTTAAACTTGGTCTGTTAAGTTATACGATTGCAATAACTCAATCATCTAAAAGAATACAAAATTAATGTTGCACTTTGACAAAAAAAAATTACTTTTATAAGTACGTCTACCAAAAAAACCTTTTATAAATACATTTATGAATATGAGTTAAAAACAAATTTTCTAAAAATAAAAAAAATGTTTGAAATTAGTGTAATAAATAAAGTGTAAGTTGCAACGAGTAAAGAGTAAGCAACTCGAATTATCTCAAATGCAAATTATTTTACATTATAGATCATATGCTTAACCAAGTTTTTGGTTCTGAACTTATACAAAAACATTTTTTCATTCCGTAAACTGAAGCTTAAAATCTAAATTCATTTGAAATGATGTAATTTAATAAAATTACAAAAGTTTAAACCTAAACTTCACTTGAACATTTAGTTATTTAACAAAGTTAAAAATAATAAGTACGAATTATATAATTGTTGGTGCCGCTAAGTCCCAAAAATTTGGCGGAAACCAAAAGTTAAAATTTGCTCAAATTGACATGATCTTGTAATTGTACAAACTTATAAATTGTAGATTTTAAGAACTTTAAAGTTTTTAATCGAGATTTTATGAAATTTAAGGATAACAAATTTAATAGTACAATTATGATAGAAACCCATAGGCCCAAAACGAGTTATTTGAAATAACTCATGCCCCGTGTTATTTCGAAATAACTCATTGAATGCAATTACTAATGAAATAACACTAAAATACCAAATTAATAATTATTTGACTCTACAAATACCACATTGACAATTAATCCATCCAAACGACATATACTAACTTAATTATGGGTTTATGGTTCAATGTTCATGCTTTATGATATAGGGTCATGGTTCATGGTTTAGGGTATAGGTTAATGCAAGAATAATGAGGTAGCACTACAAGGAAATTGTTTTCTATTCACACGATCTTATTCACATGAATTTTTTGGCGTATTAAGCCTGATTCTCATCTCTCATAAGCTGTTGTTTATGATATTAGAAAAAATGTTTTTCTTCTTTACTTTTAGAGTGATGTTTTGTTTTCTAAATGTATGGTTTGTTAATAGTGTCTATTGGCTCCAAATGTTGATATCACCATTACTATTAGCTAGTGTACTTTACCAATTACGATAAATTACATGACAAGTTTGCAAGTCATACAATTTGATTCAACATTTTGACTAGTTGTTTAAAAAAATGTAAGTATATTTACAAAATTGGTTAAAAATTGTGAAAATAATTTAAATTAGTGTAATATAATGTATAAGTTGGTAAAAAGTAAAGAGTAAGTAACTCGTTGCGCTAACCCGAACAACCCGCAACCTGATTGAACCTGAACCCGAATAACTTGCAATCCGATGCCCAAACCGATAAACCCAAAACCCGAATGAAGATAGCGATGATTGATGTTTTGTGTAACATTTTTAGTATTTTTAGTTTTTGGTGTGGACGATTTTTTTTATATTAGACAAACCTATTATTTTCAATTATCATATATCCATCTATGGTTAAATTTTTTTTTTTTTTTTTGTCTATCTACTTGACTTATCCAGCTGAAAGTACCGACCGTAGTTTCTTTTCAATATCCCCCATTATCTTCCATCACTCACAAAAAATACAAAGGAGAAGTAAAGTTTCCCTCATATCTCCGGTTTTTGGCGGAGTTGTGATTTCACTTTGGCGCCGAAAGTTTTCCGGATGCGTTGCCGATTGATTTAGCCTCGATTCTCAAACTGATTTCCTTTCCTTAAGGTAGACACGGATCCTTCAATAAATCACTTAAGATCCTCACAGGCTCGATAAATAAAGAACTGGGTTCCTTTCCATCCTAGCTGATTTTTAAATCGATTCTTCTTGCTTGATCCTTCTCCCCAGCCGGCTGGTAAGCCAATCTCTGGTGGCTCGTCCTTTTCTGAATCCTTTTCAATACCATTTTCACCATTCTTTCTCAATTGTTTGACGGCTCTTTTTTTCCTTTGGCTGGCAAAAGTATGAATTTCTCTTGCTTTCCTTCCCTTAAGAATTAGATACACCCAAATCTCCCACAGGTCTCGATTAAAAAGATACCCCAAATCTATAAGCAATACCCCCATATATTCTCCGGTTCATCCATCCTTTTAGATTCAAGAACTGTCGTCTGCTAAGTGTTGATCGACAAATTGAAGAACTGCGCTCCAACGTCTGATTTCCTCCAATAGAATTTCGGTAATATCTTAATCTCTCTCAACTAGGGTTTTGCAGCCTTTTGTGAGTAATCTCAGCCTCATTTCGGTTGTTCCAGACCCTCTGTTTTCTAAGCAGGGTCTTTGTTTAACCCTTTTCGTTTTCAATCGAACCACGTTGGTAAATCTTTTTTGCAACTATGCTTCCTGCAGGGGAAAAAAGAGCAAAACTAAGAGCACGACGTCCTGCGCTCATAAGTACAGAGACATGAATCGACAACATGTCACGTGTTCCAGAAACTAAAGGGCTTTCCATGAATCTGCAATCCAATCTGCGTGCCTCTGGCCTCTGCTAGTGAAGAACATGGCTCGTTGAATTTAGAAGGTAATGACAATCGTTTGTCTTTGTCCCCCCATCATTTGCGTGACCTGCATAGCTATGGAAACTATGTAAATGTATCTTTAATATGGGATTGAAATCCATGGCATGAAGAGATTGGTTTCTTTTCAACACTACTTTAACCACCAGACAAGTTGTTCCTTTTTAGTTGGTTCAGCTTACCTCGAAGCCATGGCCTCTTTTATGGTTCTTTATATTAATTCAAATTAGCAATAGGCAATGCAATTGAATCATATAAATCCTACACGTACATGCTGCTGTTCTATGTACTACTTGGATTTAAACTTAACAAATTGTAGCGTTGGCTTTCTCTGTGTTGTCCTATAGCAATAGCTTTTGTTTCCCTGCAGTGTTGGCGTTGTGTTGTATTTTTTACATTGTTATCCCATATGTTTGTTTGGGTTGGTCCTGTTCTTGCTTCTCTTGAGCCTTGAATTTTGTTTCAGCTGCTTGCTTTTAGGGCTGCCTTTTATCCTTTTGTTGTAGTCTTGATTTGTGCTCTTTGCTGCCTTTTGCTGGTTCGGCTGCTTCTACTCTAATTTTGTCTAATTTCACTTTCAGGGAGTTAGGAGAAGAAGAATGAAGTTTGTTGGTGGAAGTGTGCGGTAGAAAGAGTTAAGTGTTGGTACTTTTTTTTTTGTTAAAGAGAGATAATAGAAGATTTAAAACTTGCTATCTATTTTTTTCTTAGAATTCTCATAGTTTCACTAGAGAATGGTTATTCGTTCAAACTATGAATGTTGGTTTTAGTAATGTTGGTTGGGATGACATTGTAGTAGTTTTGTTTTAATTTTTATATAGATGATTTTATGATATTTTGCTATAAAACTCATATAGACGACAACTTGTTGCCTCCTAAGACATTGGTGAAAGGACACATGATCATCCCCATAAATTACAAATGTGACAATTTCTCGTTACCAAAGACACCATTTAAGCGACACCTAATCGTCATTAGAATTTATGTAGATAACATTTCAGCGTCCCTTATGCTACTACTTAAGGGACAGTAGGTTGTCCCAAAATGATATATGGTTAACAATGAGTCGTCCCCAACGATAAAGATTAAAGAGAATTGGTCGTGCCTATAAGTTATATACGTGACAAATTGACTCTCCTGAAGACACTTCATAAGGGATGATTGGTTGTCCCTACCAGTTAATAGGTGACAATTAGGCGTCCCCAAAAATACAGTTTAAGGGACAATTGATCGTCCCCACAAGTGATACAGGGGACAATTAGGCGTCCCCAAAGACACATGCTAAGGGACAACAGGCCGTTCATACGAGTTACATAGGGGACAATTAGTTGTTCCAAAAGGCGCAAAAGTGATAACTCCTCGTCCCCAAATACACAAGTTAAAGGACAATTGTTCGTCCCTAAAAGTCATAGGTGACAACTTGTCGTCTCTAAAAATATAGTATAGGAGACCACTCGTAGACCTTGAATAAAGCTTTTGGGGACAAATTTTGGACTCCATTTTGACACCTATAGGAACGACATGTCGACCCTATAAAAAGAAAAGGGGACAACAAATTATCCCCATATTGGCCCAACGCAATTAGGAAATCGATTATGTTGGACAACAGTTTGTCCCTAGAAATGATGTTAAGGGGACGACTTATTGTCGCTAAAATTATAGCTATGGGGACGACTTATTGTCGCTAAAGTTATAGCTTTGGGGACGACATGTTGTCTTTAATGGACAAGAAACGAGACAACGAATTGCGAGTATTGGGGACGACTGTCGTCCCTAGTAATGGGGACGACCTAGACTTTTGTAGTCCCCAAAAGAATAGAGGACAAGAGTATAGGGAACCACTTATTGGAGACGACTTAGTCGTCCCTAAAAAATATAGGGACGATTTTTCCTATTTCTGGGGACGACTTTTATCGTCCCCAAACCTCATCTTTTTTGTAGTGACTTCTGAAAATTTTATATATGAGTTTGACAATTTACGTCGCGTTTGAGTTTGCGATATGGATCACATCTGGGTACATCTGTCACCTTTGGTTGCATAATACTCATTTTATTTCATATAGATGATCAACGTACAACTTTATTCATTAGTGCTTTTTAGTACTAGGAACAGGCAAAACCCTACTTAGTACATGCACAATTTCGACTTTAGAGACCAGAATTAATTAATTAGGCATCTTAGCACCGTTTCCTTTTGCTCTTCCTATAATCATATTGTTTCACTCTCTTCCCCATCACGCTTCTCTCGAAACACTCTTTCACTAAAGAGCAAGATGATTAATTCTTTGGTGATGGCGGAGCATGGCCGCCGCCCTGGCAACCATTTTGACAACCATCGCCACAATAATCAGCAGTTGTCCCGCAGAAGCCATACGAACTGCAGCAATACCCAGGGTCGCACGTCCCGCCGCCGGCCTGCGAGCCGCAGTGAGGGTCGTTGTAGGAGCCGTCGTCGCCGCCCTTCACCACCACCCCGCCGCCCCGTCGGAAGGCAGCAAAAGAGTTACCATTATCGGGAGTAGGAGGCGGCGACTTCTTGCCGCCGCCGTCGCAGTTGCTCAGGCAGCCTTTGCCGCAGTGCTGGTCGGTGTTGCCGCACCACCCGTACTCACTGCAGCAGCTGCCGTCCTTGCACTTCTTGCCGGGCCCGCAGTCCTGAGCATTAGCCACGAAGGCAGCAGGGTTCGTCGCCAATAATATTAATGCCGCTATGATCAGCAGAGGGAGAGCCACGTTCATGTTGATCTTCATTTTTTTTTCTTCCTTTCTATCCTCACCACCTTTGATTGTGTGTTTTTCTGACTGTTTTGATTGTGTGATTAGAAAAGTGGTGATTTGGGATCGTATTTATACACTCGTGATTATGGTTGTGGACAGAATTACACAAGGGTGTTATTTTATTATGTTTTGAGTTTTGTGGAGATCTGCCATTCTACGTACGATGAATTGGTTAAGAAAAGGGAACCCAACAGAGGATTCTTTCCCGTAAAAAGGAGTCGGTCGTTGCCTGCCAGTGCCATCTTCTTTTCCGGTGTGAAGTTAAGGTCCCGATTACGGTTAGTGGAGTTTGCGGACTTCATAATTTCTTCTTGGCGGAGCCAGCTCCAGCAAGGTGATCCTTTTGGCCAAACAAATAATATATATATATATATATATATAATTAGGACTCCCAAATACTAATGTTAGGCTGTACATTTGGGATGCCCGATGAATACTATAAGTTATATTGTGATATATAATGACCTCATACACAACAAGAAAAATGAGAATTAACGGCAAAGTCTATTTGCCACAATAAGTGATTTATGTGCCGAGAGAGCGGTATAGCGGCACACAATTGTGTGTTGTCAATACTGCTGCCGCTATGTCTGTCTCTAATTCATAAATTCCCAACAGATAGTTTTGTTGCCAATTTGACTTTTTAATTACTATTTATTGTGTCCTTTTCTCGATTTAATAGCAAAAGTATTTGTCACTAAAATTTAGTTTAGCGGCAGATATATATGCTTCCATAATATACGTTTTAGAGTCACTTGTATTAGCCTTCAAATTGATCTATAAAAGCAAACTAAGTGCCGCTAAAGGATAAATTTTTGTCGCTAATTTCACATTTACATACCATTTTTCTACTTTTTGAGACATATTAATAGCCTCTAATTCGTATATTCTAGACAAATCTATTTGTTGGTAATTCTACCTTTTAGCCGCACAAACACTTGCTGGTAATTAGATTTTTTTTCTCCGTAATTAATTAGATTTTTTTCCCGTTGCATATAATAGAGGCTCGCATATTAATATTAAATTGGACTCCAATATCTTAATAATTATGATATTTTAATTAAAAGAAAAATGAAATTGAAACTGAGGGCTATTATTTAAAGAATAGGCAAAATGCATCTGTGTAGCCAAAACTTTGACGGTTTTGCCAAATATAGCCACTTTCGACGAAATACCAGAAATAGCCAGAATTTTGAAAGTTCCATGATAAATATAGCCATTTTTGTTACAAACTTTAACGGAGTTAGAAACTCCGTCAGTTAAGTTAACATTAGACTGACTAGGATGCCACATCATCACACATGTGGCGACAAGTCATCAATATAATTGCCACATCATTTTGATTTATCCTTTATTAAATAAATTACATAAAAAGGAGAAAAAAAATTGCCGTATATAAATGAAAAAAATAATTAAAAATTTTCAAATAGATTTTTTTTATTTGTGAAAACTAAAAACAAAATAAATAAATAAATAAAACAATAAAGGAGTGCTCTCTCTCTTCCCTAAACTCACGTCCCTCTCTTTGCTCTGCCGCCGCCCGCCGAGCTCTCCTTTCTTCTTAATTCTTTCTTTCACTTCCTCCTCAAATCCTCTCCCCTCCATCCCTAATCCAGATCAAATACCTAACTGATCTCTATTTCCCCAACTCTCTCCAGCGGATAATGCTGATTCCATGGCGATTGGCGAAGGAGGTATGTAAAGAAGATAGCCAGTCAGAGGGAGATACCTGTGGCACCGCAGCGAGGCAGAGGAGGGATCTAGCGGAAGAAAACTAATGGATTCCATAGCTAATGGTTCTTGAAGAAGATGATTGACAAAATTCATATGTGTTGACAAAGAAGACAAGGCGAGGAAGAAGACCAGATCTGCTGTTAAGGAGGAAGGCGCAACCCACAAACCCTACGACCTGGCCCCACTAATCGCCGCCATCTCCCTATCTGTCCAGATTCGGAGTTGTGCAATGAATAGAAATTGCTCGATTAAAGCCAAACCTCCGAATGAATCGTCGGATTTGTTCTGTTTCAGCTCTTCCTTCTTAGTATATTCCTCGCAAAAGCCCGAACTTTCGAGACCACTATCTCAGCTCTGCCTCATATCCAATCCCTAAAACCTTTGGATCTAGATTTGGGGGAAAAGAAAAAGAGCAGGAATTGCGGAATCAATTGGGGTTAGAGATTGAAATCCTTGCGTCGGCTGTAATTTGAGATTTATGTTTGATGGTGGTGGTGACGGCTACGATGGTGATGGAGACCCGTCGGAGATGGACGACGGTGATTGTCACGAAGCCAAAGATAAGGACGGTGATGAGGCCTCGAATAGACGGTTCTGGAGGGAGAGAGAGCGCAACGGAAGATGGCCGCCAGATCCAGCTTTTATCTTTTTTTTTTTATTTTGAACGAGAGCAACCTAGAGTCGACTGAAGAAGGGAAGAGAATGGAAGAAAGCTTAAAAAAAGAGGGGAGTTTTTCTTTGATTTTTCTCTGGGTTCACGAAGGGAAGACTAAGAGAATAAAGATGGTCAAAACATCCTTTTTCAAATTTTTAATTTTTTTAGTTTATCCACGTGGATTTATTACTAAATGGAGAGTGTCCAGCTCAGCCTTCCGTTAGTCCAGCTCAGCCCGTTACTTAACACCGTGAAAGAATAGGACGGAAGTGGCTATTTTTGGTATTTCGTCAAAAGTGGCTATATTTGACAAAATCGTCAAAGTTTTGGCTATACAGATGTATTTTGCCTAAAGAATAAACACAATCTCTTTACAAACCGCTCAAGGAAATAACTAAGCCAAATGTGAAGGGGCAAAAAAATAAACAATGCTTCACGGCTAGGTTCTTGCTAACTAAATATACTATAATCTAAATACTACCCGCCAATACCATAACAC